AGAGACACACACACACACTTTCCCAGCAGGCAGCGCGCTGCGGGGGTCGGGCCGCTGTGCACGCTGGGAGTTGTAGTGTACAGGGGCGCGGCCGGGCCGGGGACACAGGGCACCGAGTGAGGGACGCGAGGCCCTGCGGGGGCCTCCTCATGAGCCGCACCAGCTGCCTGCCCGGCTGCCGGTGAACCTCCCGATACTTACCTTTATAACCTCGCATTTATGTGGGATTTCGTTGTACTTTCTGCCAATGTTGCTCTGCCTCTTTGGCAGCGGCCTTACCGAGGATTTACGACCGGGCAGAGCAGTTAAACAGGTTTGGCACAGGTTGAAAGGTAGAAGGGAACCAACGTAGGAATCCCGTGCTGGGCCTGCCTGGGGGATCAGGATTGGGATTCCTGACCTGAAATTGTCGAGGTGCCTTGAACTTTGTGTTTGCTAGCATGCAAATGTAAATATGACAGGAAAGCACGGAGCTGGTTGTGATGTTGCGGTGTTATTTTGATTTTTTATTTTTAGGAAATCTTCTGACTAGACTTGGATGAAGGCAGGAAGAAAAAAACCTACGCTTTTTGCCTAGCTGCGTCAGAGTTGCCGATCTGCATACAACATACTCAGTACTCATCTTTACAGTAACCAACAAACAGAAATGATAAGCTGCAGACCTGCAAAGCATCTTCTCTAGAAAGAAAGATACCCTCATTTTGGATGAATGCTCTCACAGTCTAAGAGGTTGATTTTTGTGAAAAAAGATTTTGCCATTTTTTGTTCTCATAAGAGGCAGAAAGGTCTCACAGAACAAGCATTTTGAAATTGAAGCTTATACAGCTTGACAGGCCTTGGGCTTTTATAATAAACGTCCCCATGTAAGCTGCATTTTCCATTTTATAACTTCATTAGATACAGTGAGCTAATAGTGAGGTAATTTCTTCTTGTGATGGCACTCTTTTCTCAAACTAGTCAACAGGGTTTTCAGGCTTTGCTATGGAAATGTCGTATGTTCTGGCCTGTTTCAAGATGCCAACAACTGTTTGCTGTCTCTTTCAGCATCCCCAATAGGGAAAAGGTTAGCTATTTCAGTTTTATGACATCTTCCAGCACTGCATTACCAGTGGATCCCAAAGGAACTGATGTCTTTTCTACCAAGAAAACGTCTGAAAGTGATTATGAAGAAGAAAAAGGATGCGATGAAGAGACTAAAGAAGTATCTGAAGGGAAACTCCACTTTTCTTCCTCTGTTGAAGCTCCGAAGAAACGGTTAATGAGTCAAGTTCTGTCAAGGCATAAGTTTACCAGCATACAGCCTCCAGAAAAACCTTTGCAGGCTGAGGAATGGAACAGACTGAGGGAAAGCTTTCGGTCACCTGAAATATTTGAAGAAGTGATGTTTAACAGTATGGTCAGGTGCAACAGCCCCATTGATGTGGCTAAGTCCTTGCTGACCCATGTGGCAAAGAGTAAAGGTGACATTGCATATAATTTGTTGATCAAATATCTGGCATTGTGTGTCCAGCAGGGGCAGACTTCAGAAATTCGTGATACGTATGATATAATGAAAATCAGATTTAGGATTTTAGAAAGCGGGGCTTACAACCTTCTTATCAGGGGGCTAAGTAATTCAGATCAATGGAGAATGGCCTTGACTCTTTTGGAAGAAGTAAAAAAGATTATGATTCCCTCACGGACAAACTATGAATCCTGTATCAAAGCAGCCAGCCGTCACCAAGAAATGAACCTCGCATTTGAACTTTACCATGAAATGTTGGCTAAGGATTTGGTCCCAACCTTGGATGTCCTGCAGGCCTTTTTTGACTTCAGCAGGGGTATGAAAGGTGCTGAGTTACAAAAAGAGCTGTTTGGTATCCTCTTATATTTGAGAGATAACCAAATATACCCTCACAAAACATTTATGCGGAGTATAAAGCTATGGTTTGAAAGGTAAATAATGTTTCAATAGCAAGCTCCAGTTTATGAGGATGGGATTCAGATTATTCCACAGATCAAGTCTAATAAGATCCCGCAACATCTCATTTTGGTTGTTGCTTCTCCATGAGAGACACATTGTCATGAAAAGATACATTTTATTTTTGCTCCAAAATTAGTGTAAAAGTGTAAAATTCTTACTGATTTCATCTTTTCTTGAAAGATTTTACCTGTTAATTACTGTTCCTTGGTACAGAAAGTAGGAAATTGTGATGGGTCGTGGCTGTCCAAAATATCTAACTTCATCTCTTTCTGGAGTTGGTGCATAAGGAATATTGACAGGCATGAGGGTTTTTCCTATAATCTGTTGGAGTGTAGAAATAGTAAGTTATTTGCAAATTAGATACTTTCTCTCTTTAAAGGAAAGAGGCAGCAAATTTAGCATAGGTTAAGTGAAGATTAAGTGTTGACTTTGTATAGAGTAATAGGAGAGGAATAATCTTAATAGGAGGCTCTTTGTTTTCGCACAGTATTTAGCAGGCCACGCAGTTTGTTTTCATGAGTAGTGATGGTCAGACTCCCCAAATTACAATTAGTTACGCTCCACATGCACCATGTAGTTCACCTGAGCCCACTGCATATTTGTCATGCTGTTGTATGTGAGCCCATCTATGACTTTTTTTTTTAACTGTTGGCTTTGGTTTATGTGAGCTGCACAGCCATTTTACAAGTTAGTCTTCCTGGATGGAAATGATGGCTGTGTGAATGCACTACCATTATTAGAACGGTTTATACTGCTGTCCCCTAGCTATTTTCATTCCTGGGAACAGCTAGGGAGCAGACAGAATAGGCTTCAGTTGAGATGAACTAGTTTAGCGGGTGTAAATCTGTCACGGGGTGCTATTTTCCCAGTGAGTAGAGAAGGACTTGCCTGTAGGTGTATGCTGCTGCATGCGCAGGAAACTCAGCGTAATAAAAAGTCCTTGGCAAGGAGACTGCAGGGGCAGTGAGTACGTTGAAGAGCTATATATTGCCTGTATGTAGTGGCAAACCAGTGCTGCAAGCTGAAGCTAGACAAACTCCTGTTTGTGTCTTTAATACCCTGTTTGACTGTTAGAACAATTCATGAAAGATTGTGGTAGACTCATGTTTTAAGATCAACGTTGGGTGTTTCCCTAAAGGAAGCACTGTTTCAAACATGAAGAAGAAACAGAGTCCGTAATAGAGGGATGACACTAGGTGATCAGTTATCCCATCTGGCTTTTTATCTGTGAACCTGTGCAAAATGCTCAGTTTTACCTGTCTGTTCCAATTGCTAGCGCTGAACTTGTATATGCTGGTGGTTGAAAATAAATAAGCAGTTTACATGGAGTTCCCGAAAAGAAACAGACTCTGATAACTTCTAGCACTGTTAGTCTTGCAAAAATGATGCAGATTGGGAAGTAACTTTTGCTGACAAAGGAAACCAAGGGTACAGTAAGCGCAGAAGTGAGCTCTGTGAGTGTAACTGAATAGGAGTTAGTTTTAAAAAATTATTTTTCTGAAGAGCAGACCAGCACTGACTTCTAGTAGTGAGTAAAGCCAGATCCAATACAGAGATCTGCGTGTACAACAAAGAACCACAGTATTTTCTGTTGCCTGTTGTCTTTGTAAGAAAAGTAAAGAACCGCTATGTATCAGCATGAGAAATGGGAAAGGAGGGCAGAAGCAGGACACTTACTCCAAAGCCCATGGCATGTGTGATTGTGCAGCCTGTGATAATAAACACAGTGGCAAAGGGAGAGGTGTCTGTAGTTGCATGTTGGCTTGGGTATTCCTGTT